ATACTTGAAAAAATGAGAAAAAAAATTCATTAAATTATGATATGATTAAACCATGACCAAATAGAAAATTTATATAATAAAGCCAGAAAAAAAGTTGTAAAATAGTTTACAATAATTATTCACATTCAAGGCTGTACATCAATACATACAACAACGTGGCCCCGAACATGAATTCAATCCAAATAATTCATATATTAGAATTTAAATAACAGACTGAACTAGAGGCCAACAATAGCCATCAAATAACCTTATATAAGAATAAAAATACAAAAGTGTATATCCTAGTATCATTGCATTATGTTTTCATAATTTTTTTTAAAATTTTTGCTTTGCCTGTACATCACAGTTACAGCTACAGACCAGGTAGAGAATATGACGCGTTCTAACTGACTGCCACCAACCTGAACAGCAACACACTATTGATTCGTCCTGTTGTATGTGGTTATGAGACAGCTGCAGCAGCTCTAAATACTGTTAAAAGCTGAATTTGCCAATGTCCAATTAAACTACGATGATACAAGCAGAGGCTCTCACCAGCACAATGACAAACTCGAGGTCATTATGCTGCCAGACGGTTGGACTAGGAAGGGCTACACAGGTAAAAAAAATTCTCTGTACAGTTTGGTTTCTTCATATTGAAGAAATGAGTAACAGGGAAATTTCAGGTTCTTATATTGGCTAATTCATTTGCCCACCATCATCATCTCAGTCACAGAAAAACCCCTGCTCTTTTTTTTTTTTTTTTTGGCCAGAAACCAGCTTCTTCCCCAGACCACTTCTCCACAGGCAGCCTGATAAACAACCCTGCAGCCTTGGGCCAGAAACCAGTGACCCTCAGAGGCTCTGGAAGTGGCTCCAGTCCTGACTCAAGGATATTTGCCATATATTCTGCCTAAGATGATCCGCACCCACCTGAGTCACCATCAGTTTATGTTGGGTTTACAATGGAACAAAATGCAAAAAGCCTATGGCAACATTTCCCAGAACACGGTACCTTTGCCACGCTCTCACAGCAGCTGCAACCTCTCAAGTCTCAACAGTGAGCACCCTGGCTCAAAAACTCTCTGTTTCCCCTTCAAATCAATGGACCCCACCCAATGTGGAGAAACAAGACGACAACCAAATTTGGTGGTCTAAAGACTATTAGTTAACTGTGGCATTGTGGGCAGGGAGGAATGAGAAGGCCCATCGCTGTGTGTCCTGACAGCTAAGACCTTCTGAGGGGTCACACAAATGTACTTCTGTAAAACCCAATCATTTACCACCCCCCTCCCCCGCCCAAGTAAAGTCTTTGCTCTGCTATTGATCCCAAATGGCCCAATGTACTTTCTGAGTCTGTAAACTTAATTACGAATCACCCACTAAGCAGGTGGCAAGGTCAGTTCAACAGTTCTTATTTCTGCTGTGCAGAAGCAGATTCAGTACCATTGTGGACACAAACTACAAGATTCTGAAAGCATCACCAAGCACTTAGAAGTCATAGCAGCAGGAATGGAAGAGAACTAACATGCAAGCATGACCAGATTCTTGCAATGAAAAGGAGTACACTGGCTCTTGAAAAAACCTGTCACAAATGAATCTGCAGTAATGACATCATTTTAGCATTAAGAAAAAAAAAAAAGGAGCAGTCACATTCTTTGGAACACACAGCTTAGCAGAAACTGATTTGTTCAGAATCTGTAGGTCACCAGGAAGGAGGTTTTGTTACTGGAACTTTTAGAATCTAAACATCAGATCAGAGGGAGCAATCTGTGAAATGAAATTCTTTGACCCCAAAATACCACTCGCAGGCATCTGAGGGTGAAAAATGAGTCAAAAATCAAAGATTTATAAAGCTATTCATCACAGCATTATCTAAATAGTGAAAACCCAGAAATCATCTAAATGTACAAAGGGGAAATGGTCAGATAATTTATGATAAAATTTACAACCATTGGACTCTACATATTATTTTTAAAAACATGCTTCTGAAGCATAGCATGGGGAAAATGCTTAAGAAAAAATATCAAATGAAAAAGCTGGAAGCTAAATGGCATATGTTGTGTGTTCCCTGTTTAATTAAAAGAGGCAAACAATGGGTGGGGATGCAGCACAGTGGTAGAGTGCTTGCCTAGTATTTGTGAGTCCCTGGGTTCAATTCCCAGCAGTGCAAAAAAAAAAAAAAGAAAGAAAACGTTGTGGGAGTTGTAGGATCTGGATCAAAATGCTCACAGTGGTCTCTAGATGGTGAGCCTAGAGTTAATTTTTTTTTCTTCTGAAAACAGATGTTACTTTTAAGAAAGTACAGAATCACCTGGAGTCCCTTTGCCAGCATCTGGGAGTCTGTGCCACAGGGCTGTCTTCCACGTTCCTTCAAACATGGACCACAAATACCAGAGTGGACCCCGAAGGCTAGAGTGGGTGAAGTTCTGCGAGCTTTGGCCTGCTGACTACACAAGCCATCTTTCTTGAAGCAAACTTTCAACAATCCTCCCACAAGTTAAGGTTCAGAATTGTAGCTGTACCATGGTGCCAGTCCCTGGGGTGGAGGGGCTCAGAGCTCCACACAAGGGACACCCACAGCCCTGGCTGGGGGCCACAAAAAGGGATGGCAACAACCCACCCAAATCCAGCTTCCTCTGCATCCCTAGGGAAAGGCAGGGCACAGTGGGCTGTCTGAGCCTCAGTGACCACAGCCTCCTGTGCCTCCATGCTAGGAGAGGCCACAGAAGGTGGTCTGACTTTACACTTATCCTTGCCCACTCCTTTAAGACACATGGCTCTTGGAGCTACTAAGCAATAGGGCACTAATTTCTTAACTTAGATAGATCCCCACTTATATTTCCATGTATGTATGCCAACGTATAGATTAACACCACATCCCCATCCTACATCATAAGGCACCTGCATGCTGGATGATGGTACTAAGGATACTTGGAAAAACTGAAGGTGATATTAAGTCAGGATAAGAACAGAATGTGTAGGACCTTTAAAAAAAAGAAAAAGAAAGAAAAAAAAGCAAGGAAAAAGGGGCTCTGAGGACAAAAATGACCCAGGAAGGGTTTGGCTGTCACCAACACAGGGAGTCATGTTGGCTTCCCCTGCCAGCTCAGCTGAGCCCGCATATGTGGTTTCAAAGTCAGGATGGCTCGTGGTGAAGCCCAGGAGGTAGTGGTGCTCTCCAAGGGGAGGGGACAAGAAATTCTCTCACCCAAGGCTGGCCAGGCACTCTTATTCAAACCTCAGCCTCACTTGTTCCTCTGTGGCCAGGTGTCCCGAGTGATGTCTTCTGCATCTGTGTGCAGGAAAGCCAGGGAGTCACCCCTCCATAAACAGGTGCAGGAATGCTCTGAGGAGGGCAAAATAGCTACAAGGACCGTGAGCTGAACAGGAACTCCAAAGAAGAAATGGCCAAGTTAGATTCACCTAATACAGGCAATCCTCTTCAAAAGCTATGAGAGGGGACCCAGACTTTGCCCACAGGCCTAGGTCCCAAAGACCTAGGCTCGCTTGCTGGGCAGTGTCCCACTCCCTGGGACCCCAAGGGCAGGCAAGGCCTTGTCACAGCCTGCTCACCCACAGCTTTCACAGCATGAACTGGCAAAGCTTGAGCAACACCTCTGCTCCCATTCAGCACCTCGCCCTAGCACACCAGCAGGCCCCACATCTGCCTCAGCCTACATCACCCCAGTTTAAAAAGAGCCACTCTTATCTTTACAACAGTTTGAGAAAGAAATCTTTCCTCTTAGTGTGGCCTAACCAGGCACACAGTTGGCTACTCGAACAAGAGGTGGGAGAATCTTTTTCTGTGTGGGCCTTTTGCTGGTACCTTTGTAAAAGTCTATAGAAATGGCAAAGTAGTTCCTGCTTTGAGGATGTGGGAGTCAGAGGTGTATCTGTAAAGCACACTGCAAAGGCAGATACCTGCTCCTCTCCCCCCAGGACCAAGAGTCCCCTCCAGGGTCAACCTAGGTGGATAAAGAGGCACAACTGAGCCCTTCAAGAGCACTATGCCTGGAAACAGCAAAGCAAGACAGGGACTGATATGTCCCAGGCCATCTGTGTTACAGAGCTGTGGCAATACTACCAGAGCATAAGAGAGAAGTAGCCTTAAAACTTGCAGGGGACACCAAATCAGGCAGGCTCAGGTTTAAGTGGACTGTTCTCGTATCCTGGGCAATGGTGGCTAATATTTTTTCTAAGTGAAGTCCACTCTTTATGGGACCAGGTGACCAAATAATGTGAGAAGGCTTTTAGATTTTCAACACAGAGACGTAAAAAACTGAGCTAGCTGAGAAATGTTTATCCACAACACAAATGGGGGCGTGTGAGGCTGGATGGAAGCTGGCACACCCTGGAGCTGCTGGCACCAGGACAGGCCCTACTTCAGCAGACAGGCAGTCTGCACATTTAAACCTTTCCATAGACTCTCAGGAATGCCTGTGGCTCCAACTCCTCCACACGGCCAGTGGCCCAGGCTGCTCTGGCTGGAGCCTCCGTGGCACCTCCTGGCCTTGCCCAGATGCATGGCAGGACTGCGTATCAAGCAAGATCCAGCTGGGTGCTGTCTCCGGTATGACAGTCCCCTAGTGCTCCTCCTGGACATGTGGTTGGTCTGGTGTCCAACTCCATCCATGGACACTGCTAGGAGGTGGACATGGGAGTGGAGCACAATGAGGGCACCCTGCAGCTGGAGCAGCTGGTCCTGAATGTCACTCCTGCAGCCTGCCTGCCAGAAAGCAGGGACCACAGAAATCCTGTCATGGACCCACACCAGGAGGCACACGTGGGGCCTGACCACATCTTCAGGGCTATACATGAAAGATTCAAGAAAGGTAGCACACATACAAAGCTAAGAACCCTGTGCCCATAGCCAACCGTTGGCTGCCACAGCAAAGGTGTTTACAGGGCTCCCTGGCAAAGGGTTCCATGACAATGGGGGTGGGTATAAAGAGTCAAGACACACCCAGTCCCTTAGCCACAGCAGGAACAGTGTGGCAAGTGGCGGGGGGGCGGGGGGGAGGGTGGCAAGTGCACAGTTCCCACAGATGCTAAGAGGGGCTGGTGATGTCAAGTCTGGCCACTGGTCTAGGCAGGAGCTAGGCTGCCGTGCATGGTCTCCACGGCCACAACAGCACGTGGAAGCCTCCACAGAGCACAGAGAGCAAGCAAAGCGACCCTGGATTCCTGTTTGTTATTGGTTTTGTTCTTTGTGTGGTTTAGTATTTTTTTCTTCTTTTCTTTTAAATAAAAAAGCTGCAAGGTTTCCGCCATCTGAGTTCTCCTTGAGACGGCTGGCAGGTGGTGTGGAAGCGTCCTGGGTGGCGGCCGAGCCGCGCTGGGGCAGGTATCCTGGCAGCAAAGGACAGCCCGGCCGCAGGCCATGTCACTGCACAGCAGAAGCATCCGGGTGGCTCTGGTATCGCTGCCTCCAAACTTCCTGAATCTTTCTGCACCACTTGTGAGCGTTCCCACTTGGATCCATCAGGTAATACGTCCTGTTAGGCTGCAAAGACAGAGCACCTAATGTCCCCCAGCGAGTCCCCCAGTCCCACCCAGCCTGTCGTGATTCCAGCGCTGCAAGCACCTTCGCCAAGTCTGTGTGCATGGTGGGATTCTTCATGCCACACATGCACAAACTAAACATGCAGGAGAGCGACCCACCCCAAACTGAAAACCAGCACAAAGTGCTTCCTGGTTCCCTTTAGGCCAGAGCTGCTCATTAATCAGGGCCTCTGAGACATGAGAAACTACCCTGGCCCCAGACACCCACTTGCCAAAGCAAGAGATAATTCTAACAAAGGCCTCCAAAGACACTGCCAATGAGAGTCCTTAGGGACAGACTCACCGTGTGGACAAAGAAAGTTTTAAAATTCTTGGCCTCTGGTCGGAGTTCTTGTGACCATGGAATTTCACCTTTCAGGACTTTGTTGACAGGATCAACGTAATATAAATGTGGCCCTTCTGTAAGCAATAACTGCCTTCGTCGTGCAAATAAACCCTGAGCCAAAAAAACAGAAACAGAAAAACCTTGTTATCATAGCCCAAAGGGAATCAACCTGTACAAAAGCTCATTACACAGTGACTATACCTGCTACCTGTCCATTCACATGGACACTTGTCCCTCATCTGGTCAGTGAAATATCAGTACAGGCCTCTTTTGCTGAGCTCCTAAAGATGTGTCATTGACGGCCAACCCACTGGCCCCAGGCCCATGAGCTCCTCTAAACCACAGAGACTCACCCTCAAAGACCAGGCCTCAGCCTGCCTTTGTGGAGAGTCTCACTCACAGAGGATGTATAGCCAGTAAATATGGCCAGGAGCCCATGCTTAGAAGGGGACTTGTGTGAGTAGTCTGCATGTGTTGTACAGTCCATTTAGTCCATAAACATGTAATAAACAGTAACTCTTAACTGTTTTACAACCCTCTAATGAAAAGTTAGATTATGTGCTAAGACGACAAGCATGGCCTCTTCAATGTGACAGGAGCCCTGGCATGGTGAGTTCAGCCTTATGCGACAATGGACGCCAGGCTCCACAGCCAGACCATGAGGCTGGCTGTCCACTTGCCTCCTGCAGGGCTCCAACTGCTTCCCAAGAGCCTAAGTATTCTTGGGACATGAAATCTAGAAATGATCTTCAAAGAGTATGCCAGGACAAAGGATGGTACATCCAACAAATCATGACAGGAGCCCGAGGAAGGAGAGCTGACATACGCTAGAAATAGGAGGAAGTCATAGATAGGGTGAAGAGCAGCAGGGTCCTGACTCACCTTTCGCTTATCCACTGGACCCATTTTTAGTATTAGATTATTTTCTACAAACTGGTGCCTATAAAAAAAAAACAAGAATGAAATGCAAGAATAGCCATCATTAGAAACACCACCACCAACAGGTGTTGGCAAGGATGTGGGGAAAAAGGAACCCTTATACACTGCTGGTGGGAATGCAAACTAGTACAACCACTCTGGAAAAAAATCTTTGGAGGCTACTTAAAAATCTAAACATAGATCTGCCATATGATCCAGCAATACCACTCTTGGGGATATATCCAAAAGACTGTGACACAGGTTACTCCAGAGGCACCTGCACACCCATGTTTATTGCGGCACTATTCACAATAGCCGAGTTATGGAAACTGCCAAGATGCCCCACCACTGACGAATGGATTAAGAAAATGTAAAATTTATACACAATTGAATACTACTCAGCCATGAAGAAGAACGAACTCTTAGCATTTGCAGGTAAATGGATGGAACTGGAGAACATCATCTTGAGCAAGGTTAGCCAGGCCCAGAAGACCAAAAATCGTATGTTCTCCCTCATATGTGGACATTAGATCAAGGGCAAACACAACAAGGGGATTGGACTTTGATCACATCATGAGGCGAGAGCACACAAGGGAGGTATGAGGATAGGCAAGAAACCCCCTCAAAAAAAAAACCCAAAAAACAAGATAGCATTTGATGTCCTCAGTGCAAAGGAACTAATTCAGAAACTTTAAAGTGACAGAGGCCAATAGGAGAAGGGGACCAGGAACTAGAGAAAAGGTTAGTTCAGGAAGAATTAACTTAGAATGTAACACATATGTACAGGAAAGCAATGCAAGTAAACTCCCTGTATAGCTACCCTTATCTCAACTAGCAAAAACCTTCCTATTATTGCTTATACTCTCTCTTCAACAAAGTTAGAGATAAGGGCAAAATGGTTTCTGCCTGGTAGCAAGGTGGGGGAGCAGGGAAAAGGGAGGGAACGGGGGAAGGGGGGAGAAATGACCCAAACATTGTATGCACATATGAATAAAAGAAAAAAAAAAAGAATGAGATGCAGTAGTTCTTCAAATTCTTCCCTCAAACAAATTCCCCAGTGCCTCCACGGACCCTCTCCATGTTAACCAAGCCTGCACCTCACAGAATCCAGCCTCTCTTCAAGACCAGGAGATGGCTTCCATGATGCAAGGTACAGAAGGGTCTGTCTGCATCTGGACCGAAATCTAAATCCTGTGGCTGCCTCTCACCCACGACTAGCTATACAGCAAGGGAAAGGTGGAAGGAATTAGTGCCACAGAACCAAGAAGCAGCACACATATCATCAAGTCAAAAAAGCCACAGCAAATGAATAGGCCCTGGGTTCAATCCCCAGCACCAAAACAAAACAACTGTGGTGATAATCAAAGAATTTCACTAAAGGGTGGCTCTTTCTGGAAGTCAACTTTAGGACAACTCTGTCACTCTTAAAGTTACTTAACCATGCCAGGACTCTCAGTTGAGTGCCTAGAATTCAGAGTACTATAGAATCACAAACCTTTGGAGGACCCAAGTTAGACCTGGCTTAAGAACATCGTTTCTGGATTAGCAGTATAACTTAGTGGCAGAGTGTGCACTTAGCATGTACCAGGCCCTAGGTCCCTGGGTTCAATACCCAAGATGGTGATTATGAGGGAGATCTTTTCTGGCATTTGTACCATAGTCAAAAAACATTCAAGTACGTCAGGAATTTGGAAGAACATGTTTCAAATACTGATTTTGACCTTAAATACATATTAGCAGCACATAAACCTCACTTTGCCTCCAAGGAGCTTAAAAAACTGTCTTAATATCTACAGGTTACTTCACTGGGTTAAAGCTAACAGCTACTGCTTTATATTCTGCCTTTTTTGAAGTGTTGGGAATAGAACCCAGGGCCTTGCACATACCAGGCAAGTGCTCTACCACTGAGTTACACCCTCAGCTCTATGTAATAAAATCCCTAATTTGAGATTCCATTCTAGAAATACTATATCTATATTGAATCAGGGTCATTGCCCCTCCTCTCCAAGGGACCAGCTCTGCTGGCAGAACCAAATCCCACCAAGCTCCATGAACCATACTGCCTGACCTGCCCTAATCTGACCAAAATGCCTTTCCCATGGATGCCATATCACTAAAGGTCTGGCCTCAAGTTATAACATCATGTTCAACATAATTGAAAACAATCCAATTTTGAACAAGAACAGGACTGTGACCCATGAGGGAGAGTATAATATGCCCATTCTTAAAGATATTTAACAACCAACCAAACAACCTATCAAACACAGAACTTGAAGCATAAGAGAAGAGAGCTGGAAATTTCTGAAAAGGACATGTAGTAAGGAGGTGCTACTGCTGCAAAGAAAATAAGAAACACAAAACAAATGTGGTAAACACCATGGAGCCCAACAGAAAACCCATCTAACAAATAGACCCTGTGACATTTTAATATCAAGTAAAGATTCACAGGTGATAATAAAGGAAAGACTTATCAACTAAACTACTATAGGGAAAGTCAACATGGGAAGCAAAGGATCGGCATCCAAGCAGTAATTAGCAGGCACCCTGGGCCAAGGAGATAAAGGAGAAACAAGAAATTCCTTGAGGGTCACCTTCCAAGCTGAAAGCAAAAGGAGTCACCAAATGCCAACAGACAGGACTAGGTGAGAACAAAACAGCTCTAACTGCAAAGGTTTCTAGCAAGGGCACTTAGGAAGGGCCACCCCCTCCATTCCACAGAGCCACCACTAAGTGCAGCCTGAGGCCACAAGCATCAACAGAAAAGCAAACCAAGTACCCAAATTGGAAACTGCCAAGAGGACTTGGGTAACAGGCAAACCTCACTGGTCTTAAATAAAGAAATTGAATCAAATCCCCCTTCCACTGTTTCCCTGGGGTGCACTGGGGCTGTGGGCAGATGCGGTTGTTATTACTCAGCACTTAGGATCAGAAATGAGGCCTTGCTGGAAAAGCAATTTGGAAACATGTACTGAGAAGGAACCCCACTTTAGAAACTTATCCTAACAGGGAAAAAAAGATGAGGAGGAAGAGATGTTCACAGTAGTATTATTCACAGGAAATGAAGCTATAAGATGGTTTGGCACCACAGGGAAAGGGGGAAACCCCTTTCTTGCCCCAGCCGAGTGACATGTACTAGCCCTGCCCCTCGCTCACTCTGCACACACACGTGTGCACATGCAGCCCAACCTCTCCCAGCCCTTCCAGGGGGGAAGAAGGGTCACCCAGCTGTGGCCCTCACATCAGAGGCACAGGGACAGACAGAGGCCAGTGACGTTCCATTATGAGCATTAACATCACAGCCCACTCACTCAGTAAGCTTACAACAAGCCACTGCACTTATCTCCTCTGAAAAGTACATTTCATGGAATCATTTTGACTTTTTACTTCACATTCAATTCCTGCCCTCACTGTTATGTGCCTTCTTCTCCTTGACAGGGAGAGCTGTCATTTAAAGAGTCTGTGCCAAAACCAAGTTTGAGTCAGAGACATAAGAATCTAAGTACTCAAGTTCACACATAGTACCCAGCTCCCTCCCAAAACAGGCTTTGAGCTAAGGGTCTCATGACTCACCATAGTCAACTCACAAGGGGTGGCAATGTAAAAATCCCATTTTCCCCCCTCCAATTCCAAAGTCAGGGTTCTCTCCTCTTCCCTTGTTCCACCACACACAGACCCCAAAAAGACCATTTCCAAGGACCTGAGCCAAAAGCTCCAGCCCTGAGAGCGCAGCGTGGCTGCAGGTGTAGGAGTGTATCCCGAACACCCCTGCCCAACCAAGCAAGGCCCTCCAGCCCTTGCTTCACTTGGGTCTAGGGACCAGTGGTGGCACCTGACAGGCCTCTGGTTTGCTCTGAAAGGCCAGCTTTCCAACCTTTAGACCTCAGGATCTTCACACTCTCAAACTTGAAGAAAGCTCCCAAGGGCTTTCCCCTCTCTGGATTATATACAGTGATATCACTCTATGGGAAACTGAAACAGACATTTTCAAATACCTGTGTATTTTGAAATACAAAAATCCACTGCATGTTAATATAAATAAAATTTTTTTTTTAAATAATTCTTTTCTTTTCTTTTTTTTTTTTGGTTTCTGGGGTTTGAACTCAGGGCCTTGCACTTGTTAGGCAAGTGCTTTACCTCTTAAGTCAGGCTCCCAGCCCTTTTTGCTTTAGTTATGATTCAGACTGGGTCTTGAGCTTATGCCTGGAGCTAGCCTTGGACTCTGATCCTCCTACCTATGTGTCCTATGTAGCTGAAATCACAGACACGTGTCATCACACCCACATGCCCAGCTTACTGGTTAAGATAGGGGTCTTGCTAACTTTTTGCCCAGAACTGGTCTCAGACTATGATCCTTCCAATTGCTTCCAGAGAAGCTGGAATTACAGGTGTGAGCCACTGGGCTTGGTCAAAAATTTACTATTTTTTGCTGGAGGTGTGGTTCAAGTGTTAGGCAAGTACAAGGCTAAGTTCAAACCCCAGTACTGCAAACAAAAACCCTTAGTACCACAAAAAACAAAACAAAACAAAACTAATTTCTGAGACAAAAATAATTAATGAAGAATGTCTCTGCTATGCATTTATGAATTCACTGCCTGACTTAGGAAAAGGGGTTGAACTCTGTGTCCCCTGCGCTTCGCTCTGCTGTGTGGCCTGCCATTTAGGTTCCAGTGCTTGAAAGCACAGCCTCATTCAGATAAACTGCTGGAAAAAAGGGAGTATTTCAATAGCCTTGTTAGATAACTGTGAATTCTCTTTGCTTTTTTTTGGGAGGTAGGGCAAGACAGTCTCACTACATTGTTCAGATTGGTCTTGAACTCCTGAATGAAAGATATCCTTTCACTTCAACCACCTGAGAACCTGGGACTATAGTTGTGTGCCACTATACTCACCCTCTTCTTTGATATATCAAGACCCAACAAGTGGTAGTTTCTAAGTGTTAATTACAGAAAGGAATCTGCATCTGTAATAATGAATTCTTCACAGATGTGACATTAAAAGCCAGCAATCTACTTACCACTCTGAATGGATCTTATACTTTTACATGGTTTTATAGCACAATACATCAGGTATCTAGAAAATGTTGGTTTGCAGTTATGGAGAGCTTCTAAGTAGTGACATATATCATTCTACAGTATCAATGAGAATCTGTTCGCTAAGAACACTACCAATCTCTTCAAAAGTCATCAAGTATTAGAAAGGTGTCAAGCTTCCCAAACGCCTTTCACTTGAAGATTTCAATTTGGTCAGTACAAACACTGGCAATTGCTTTCCTTAAAGTGACAATAAATCCTTATTTTTGAGAAAAATATCAGCCAAATAGCTGCATCTGTACAACGTCAGACTCTGGTGGAGATGGTGTTCCTTGGCATTCTTGAGCAGCCACACAAATGCTGGAGGTAGCTGTCACACTGAGGTTTGTGGCAGACGAGCTCTATGCATACTCCCATGTCCTCATACATAACAGCAATAAAACTCATCATTTCTAACAAATGCTTGGGGGAGATGGGCTTTTCTTTTCTTCCTGTAAGGGTTGGCTGTGAAGAACTGAGGTCACCCACCACTGCTTATTGCCTGGGCCTCCAACTGTGCTCTTATACCCACAGTTCTGTCCATTATGGCTTCTGTACATCAGTGTAAAGGAGAACAGATCAGTCCAGAACAAAAGCATAAGATCCCATTAGGTACTCCAAGCACTTAGGTCTAAGAACATCTTTGGAGAAAAGCTAGGGTGATAGAACACAAACAAAAGCAAAGCAACAAGTCCTGTCCCATCTTTAGGTTCATGCATTCATTTTCCACAACTTTTGGCTTATAGAAAAAAGCAGCAATATTTTATTTTCAGGAAGCACTGGGGTTTGAACCCAGGGTTCTGTGCTTGCTGGGCAGGTACTCTACCACTTGAGCCACGCCCTCACCCTTTTGCTTTATTTTTCAAATAGGGTATTCAGTTTTTGCCTGGGGCTGGCCTGGATGGTGATCCTATTTATGCTGCCCAAGGAACTGGGATGACAGGTGTGTACCACCACACCCAGCTTATTGGTTGAGATGGGGATCTTTCTCCTGGGCTGGCCTCCCAATCTCTTCCAGGCAGCTGGGATTACAGATGTGAGCCACCCATGCCCAGCTTAACTTCCTTTTAACCCAGTGAGTTTTCACCATACTACTATAGGTGGTGGCAGCAACAGCTTCTCCAGGCAGGAAGGGCTATGGCAGCCAGAAACCCCTGCAGTCTCTACAGCCTCAATGCAGCTTTGTTAAAAAAAAAAAAAAAAAAAAAAAATTCAGTAGCTTTTTTTTAAAAGAAAAGTTGTAGTAACGCCTGGTTTTTAAAGACCTCAGCATGCACACATTTAAAAATGTTCATTTTAAATGCACATTCCCTTTAAAAATTCCTTTATCTTTCAAACTGAATAATGTGTCTTAAAATGATGTTGCAACTTACTGGAATTGTAATCCTATAAAAATATTCTGTTCATAAACAGAAACAGACAAAGTCCTAACATCTATTAAGCCAAGAGATATTTTTATTTTGCATTTACGATTTTGCTCAGTTTCTCAGGAGTACATCTTCCCTTCTATGCATCAGAGAACTCTCTCTGATACATCCATTTTTTTCTTCTTCTTTTCTGCATGCTGAAACATGACAAAGTACTAACATCTATTAAGCCAAGAGATATTTTTATTTTGCATTTACGATTTTGCTCAGTTTCTCAGGAGTACATCTTCCCTTCTATGCATCAGAGAACTCTCTCTGATACATCCATTTTTTTCTTCTTCTTTTCTGCATGCTGGGCAGGTACTCTACACCTTCTGTCTCTTCACCCCCCACCCTCCCCAGCTCACACCTGTAATGCTAGCTACTGAGGAGGCAGACATCAAGAGGATTGCGATATAAAGCAAGCCCAGGCAAATAGTTCATGAAACCCTATCTCAAAAAAAACCCACCACAAAAAAGGGCTGGTGGGGTGCCTCAAGTGTAAGCCCTCTTCGACAAAAATAAACAAACAAACTCATAATCAACTGATTAAAATAGTTGATGTAGGCATCTGCATGGTGACTTCAGCCTCAGCTCCTCGTTCAATATTGATGGAAGGAACCTACTTAACATTCTCAGGATTGTGTGAGTTAGTGCATTGCATGTAACTCCTCATCTGGAAAGAGCCCATGTCTGATAACCTACACTACAAGGCCTTTTCCTGTGGTGATTCTCAAACCTTCTCCACTGTGAGATCCTTTTCCTTTGGACCTCTCATGTAGGGATTTGCCACTATGGTTGCTTAGGGTAAGTCAGGACTTGCCACCTGAGTTCTATAGGTATCCTTCTGATATCATTAGAAGCCATGACTATGGCATGGCTTCCTGACTGACTTGTTCCTTGTTAAGTAGGAGTAGACCAAACACAGCACTGCAGCACCCCCGACAATGTATTCCTCCAAAAGCTCAGTTTTCTTAAGTCTTAAATGGTGCTATTTAGCTAAAAAAGCACATTTCTCCTTTAAAGTCAATGACCCATGCTTTCACATGAAAATATATCATAAATTTTCTTTTATTTTAGAAAAAGTATTAATACCTAAAGTCACAATTTTGGATGAAATTCACAAAAGTTTTTTCTATTTTTTTTTTTCCAGTACTGGGGCTTGAACTCAGGTGCTCTATCACTTTAGCCACTCTGCCAGCAGAGTGGGTTGGGTGTTATCAAGATAGGGTCTCACAAACTATCCACTTGGGCTGGTTTTGAACCACAATTCCTCCTGATCTCTGTCTCCTGAATAGCCAGGATTACAGGTGTGAGCCACAGTGCCTGGCTCCGATAAAATTTTTATAGCATTGCAAAAACAAGTCCAGAAACTATTTATTTCTTGTACTTCCATGTAGGCACGCACATTGAAAACTTCAAGATTTCAAAGTGATGACTTATTGGATGATAATTACAAAGACTGTGAAGGTATAACTGAAGATCGCTACTAAGAATTCAGTAGAAATTTGAGAGCTTATTAATCCCTAAATGCATGTAGGTTAAGCCATACCTACTACTGTAGAAAACGTTTGAGAAAGATCAGATCACACATGTTCCAATAACTGTCAAAATAATGCCCAC